TTTGTACCACATTTTCCACCTACCACTTGGACCGTTTTAATTGGAGATGCCGGGGATTGAACCTGGGACCTTCTACATGCAAAGCAGATGTTCTGCCACTGAGCCACAGTCCCTCCCCAGTGTAATGAAGTCATGAAGCTGCCTTAGTCTGACACTTACTCTGAGTCTTCTTGTCTACTTTGACTGGCAGTGGCTCACCAGCGTCTCAGGTGTTTCCCACCCACCTACTGACAAATGTTTTAACTGGAGATGCTGGGGATTGAACCTGGGACCTTCTGCATCCCAAGCAGATGCTTTACCACGAAGCCAATGTGTCATAAACAACCTTGTGAACCTTCTGGTTAAGAGCACAGGCCAGAACTATTTAAAATAAATGAATTAAGCAGCTCCAGTAAAGGAGGGAACTGAAATGGGGGGGGAGGAATGATGGGGGGGCAAATTCTCCCTCTCCCTGGCTGTCTTTTATACTTAAAATATGCAAGAGATTTCTTCACTGATCTCTTGAATTCCCCTGAAGTTTAGATTTCTGCCAGAGACCCTACAGAATTCCTGACTATCAGAGTGGAAAATTCCAAGGTGTGGAGCAATTTCCTAACAGTCTTATAAAAACTGGGTGTGAAATTTCATTAGGAAATGTGAGTTATTCTGGAGGGATCCATGGAGATAACATTGTAAGGCCAACTGGGTTTTTCTGTCACAGCAATAGTCATCTGTCACTGTGTTTGACCCCTTGGCTTAAGAAGTTGTACTATCTTGGTTTGCCAAATACTATCCCTATTTACCTGAAAAGACCAACCCCCTCCCCCCACATATGCCTTTAAGAAAAAGAGCATCTTAGTCTTGCATACAGGTTTCAGTTATGTATAGCAATCAAAAAACCTTTTGTGCATATTACCTTTGGGGGGGGTTTGTCATGTTCAGGGTCATATTTTGGATACGTGGAATTTGGTGCTGGATACAAAAATTTGGATTGGCAGGATTTTTAAAACATTTCCCCATTCTAAAATGGAAAATAAAATGACACATTTAATAAACAGCTTTAAAACGGGTTTTAAATAGATTCATGTCTGTCAATGGATACTAGCCATGGTGACTGAGGGGAACCTCCATATTCAGAGGCACTAAGCCTTTGAATCCCAGAGCCCAAGAGGCAA